CAAATAATCAATATCGGCAAACTTGGTCAACAAAAGGCAAGCAAGGAACAAAAGGAGGAACAATAGTCCGCAAGCGGACAAAAGAGAAAAGGCCATCCAGCCGTCTAGCAAGCTGTCCAGCTGGGGGCGGACAACAATGAAGCAGGCAACCTAGGTTGGAAGGTACGCGCGCAAGGGAGGGAGTGCAGATGAGGGTGACGGGTGGATGGATGGGTGGACAGATGATGATGATAGCGGGAGGGACAGGCCAAGTGGCACTAGGACACGTAGGCGGAAGTGATGGATATGTTGGGTCGTGACAGGAGGGAGGAGAGGTGGAGGGGATGAAGTTGAAACCTTCTTCTGCTGTCAGGGGTGTGTCCGGGGTTGAGGGGGTCCAGGTATAGCACCCGGTGCTGAGGACCTCGTGGGGGTGGATCAGGCATGCGTACTGGCAGGCCTGATATGGGACAGCTGTCCCTGGCCACTCAGACTGAAGTGGAAAAGGTGAGAAGAAGGTTACTTCTTCGGTTCCCACTTCAGGTACATTTATGTACATGCGGCTTGAGTCACATGATGGATGCCACGTCATCCTTGGAGACAACCACAGCCATCTGGGTGTCCCTGTGGGGGATCCCGAGGGCATCCGGTGCAGGCACACATGCTGGGCACAGCTGGGAGCTGTCCGGGGAGTCTGGGCCAGGCAGGTCAATAGTACATTGATGCAAAGGAAAATGGTCCATGTAAATAGAAAGAATAAACAGGAGGGGAATGATGGGAAGAATGAAATAAAGAAAAGAGAAGAGAGAGAGAAGAAAGAAAGAAAGAGGAGGGAAGGAGGGAGGGGAAGGATGGGCAGTGGGGCAGCGGGTGAGGTGTGACCGGGTGGACTTGGGTGGGCCCTGACAAGAACACTTTCGGCTCAATTATGACATCCATGATAAGGAACTGCTTGCCATTCACGATGCATTCCAATCATGGAACCACTTCCTTGAAGGTTCGGGAACCCAATCGACCCCATCACCAACCACAAGAACCTTGAGTATTTCTCTACCACCAAACTCTTGACCCAGTGGCAAGCCCACTGGTCAGAGTTCCTCTCCCAGTTCCACATGACTGTCCGATTCCATCCCAGAAGACTCAGAGTAAAACCAGATGCATTGACTAGACGCTGGGACGTCTATCCCAAAGAAGGGGATATGGACTACACCTGCAGAACTTCTGACCGGTCTTCACTTCGGAGCAGCTCACTGCATCCTTATGAGCCACATTCCTAGCTTCCACAGTAATCCGGGCAGCTGTACTCATTGACACAGAGGCTCTCCATTGAGACATTCTAGCCTCCCTCTCCTCTGATACCACAATCTCTTCTCATCTCACTTCCCCAAACCTCCCCAATTCCTGCTGGTCCATTGATGCCAAAGGCCTGTTAAGGCTGGACAACTGCATTTACGTTCCGGATTCCAATGATCTTTGTCTCTGCATTTTGTGAGACAAACATGACCACCAGCTCTCTGGACACTTCAGCCAAAACCGGACTCTGGACCTGGTCCGTCATGATTATACCCGGCCAGGCATCTGTAACTTCGTCAAGAGCTATGTGTCCTCCTGTACTTCCTGTGCCCATGCCAAAGTTCCCCATCACAAGCCTTACAGCTTACTCAAACAACTCCCTATCCCCAAACGTCCTTGGAACTCCATCTCCATGGATTTCATCGAACAGCTACCCTCCTCTTCCGGATTCACTTCCATCTTGGTCATCATGGACCACCTGTCCAAACAGCGCATCTTCATTCCTACCCATGATACCATCACTTCTCCGGAACTGGCCAAGCTATTCCTCCTCCATGTGTTCTCCAAGCATGGAGTTCCTTCCCACATCACCTCCGACAGGGGTCCGGAGTTTGTTTCTCATTTTTTCTGTTCACTTGGTAAATCCCTTGACATCCACCTCCACTTCACCTCCGGTTACCACCCAGAAGGACATGGACAGTGTTACAAAAATGGGGCCAGAGGCGCCCATTTTCATCCGTTCGAGGTGCAGGGAAAAGGAAGGGGGAAGGGAGGTGGTTCATTAGGGTTTACAGATGGTTTCACAGATGATTTAACATGTAGTTTAACAGGTAGTGTGGCAGCGGGTTTTTCGTTGATTATTGATTGGATAAACTATATTACTATATAAATCACATGATACAGAACCCATAAGAGTCTAAAATGGAAATTCCCATTTCCACAACAGACAGACCAAACAGATGGACCAGATGCTCAAGCAGTACCTGCGCATCTATAGTAACTACCAGCAGGATAATTGGTCCGAACTCCTACCTCTTGTGGAGTTTGCATACAACAATGCTCCGAATGCCACCACAGGCATCTCTCCATTCTTTGCCAATAAGGGCTACCATCTGAACATACCGTTCACCCAGAGCGAGACCTAACATCAGTACATGCCCAAGAGTACTCGGTAGATCTCGACCACTTCCTTCATGAGGAAATGCACCACGCTCAGATCTGTTACCAGGGCCTGGCAGACTCCTGTCAGAGTCCTGCCCCAGCTTTTGAGGTAGGAACTTTGGTCTATGTAAAGGCCAAGTATTTCCATTCCACCCGACCTTCCAAGGAGCTCTCCGAGAAAAACCTCGGCCCATTCGAGATCATTGCCCACATCGAAACCCACTCCCTCACTCTACGCCTGCTGGAAAACATGTGAGCCATTCACCCAGTATTCCATGTCTCACAGATCGAACCCTCCATCCTGAATGTCATTCCGAACTGCCACCAGCCACCTCCACCTCCAATAGAAATCAAAGGCGAAATGGAGTTCAAGATCGAAGAGATACTCAACTCCAAGATCAACCGACGTAGATGCAACAAGTTGCTCTACCTGGTCAAGTGGCTAGGCTGTGAAGGGACTGACAAGGAGACACAATGGCTCCTTGCCAGCGAACTTGATCACACCTCCGACCTCGTCAAAGCTTTCCACTCTCGGTACCTGTCAGAGTACCGAGCTGCTCAGTATCTAAGTCGAGGAATCCGGAGCTCTCGCTGGAGCTGAGACCGAAAGGGAGAGGGTCGGTTTCAATGGGGGAACCTGATAGAGCGGGTTGTGATGGAGATTCCAGCTGAGCAGCAAGGGGGAAAATGAGAGAAGAAAGTTACCCTCCCCGCTTGCTACTCAGGAAATGATAAGGTCGGGGTACTCGGCAATGTGGGGCCGCTTTACAAGAGGGAATATATTACATGTCCATGTCAGTCCGGGGATAGTGATCAGGCAGTGCTGGTCTGGAGTTGATGTGTCATCAGTCATGAGTAAACAGTCCAGACCTGGTTGTACCCTGACAGTACCCAGACAAGCCTGGTCCCAAAGTGTCAGGAATCGGCCCCTGACCCCGCTGTCAGGGCACCCAACCACACCCCAGAACCACCCTCCCAGACTTCCCCCACTTCCCTGACCTCTCCATCCCTACATATCTCTCACAACTTCAGCCCACATGCGAGCCTGCAGGAAAAATCACCTGGGTCAAGGCGAGCAACTCACCTTAACCCATGTGACACCTTTTCTGAGTCACAGGAACATGCTCGGCTTCTACCCAGAGTCACGTTATGAACTGTACAGTACACTTCCCTTTTATAGTAGCCAAGTGGGGAATAGGGAAACTTACCCTTCTTCTCAACTCAATCCCTGCTTAGTCCCTTCAGTGAGTTTGAAGAGCTGAGGACAGGGTCTAGCACCCAGCCACCCGGAACACCACACACACCTAGGCCTGAGGTCAGGCTGTCCCTGATTGAGGACCGAGCCCTGACACAAAGCTCCTTAGGAACCTCGACTCCTCTCCCATCTCTCCTTTCTCTCCACTCCTCATTCCTCTTTCCCCTCACCTTACTAATTCTGGGCCTTCAAGGGTTCAGGCCTAAGAAGGGGATACTGTCATATCCATCCATGGCCATCATCTCCCACTACCTCCAATCCTTCTGGATTAGCTCCACTCCTTCTTCACTAACCTTGTCTGACTCCCTCAATGGTCACCACCCCCTCTTTTCAACATATTACCTATGCCTCCCTAAGTATGGAGCACCAAAGGCTTCTGGACAGCTCCAACGTCCGCTAGCACCCCACCGCTGGGCAATTCACTCGCTTGCCCTGCAAGTCTACCTTTGGGCCTATCCCTCCTTTCTGTTTCTGGGTTATCGCCTGCCATTCCGCCAACCCCATAACCTGACTCGTTGGTAATATTCAGTCAGCTAATGTTTAACTCTGTTAGCCCTGCTCCGCTCGGTCCTGCCATTCATGGGACTGCCTCGCTGTAACTATATATACTTAACTTGTGGACAGGTTACACTCCAGTGATAAAATCGACTAGAGTTGATCCCCTTTTTAGTTCTCATTGCCAGTAAGTAAATTAGGGCACGGACATGTAACTTGGCACAGCACTCCTGGTCTGAGTCACTGAGGCTGAAGCCCTCTGCCATGGAGACAACTCCTTTGTCTCGCTTCTGGTCTCTAACAAGTAGCATAGTCTTCCCTTTGTTTCTTGTCCTGCCAAGTCCCCCATGCTGGGACTTTGCTGCTTTCAGAGCTGTCCCTGGTGGGACCCTATGTCAAGCATGTTCTACACTACACAAGTGTTGTGATGGTAATTAATAATCTTGGTTTTGTGGGACAACATGAAATGAATAATTATTACATAATAATGTTGCATGTAGGCAATGGTTGTTGGCTGGTTTCTAAATCAATTCCCATCATTTTTTGTGAGGCCCTGATCACGTGTATATTTCCTTCTGCGCTCATCTCAGGGGGGTTTTGTAGGTTTTCTATTTGTGAACTATTTTTGCTTTCAGCACATGATCTTTGTGGGGCATGCTGAGGAATGTTTTAGGGTTAGTGTGAAGTAGTGATCGTGATAGTGTGGTCAGTGACCCGTGAGAATCTGCAAGCTGATGCAAATGTGCAATTTCTTCACCTTCTACATATGAAAGTGATTTGTAGTTATCACTGTATGGTCTGCAAGAGGCTCCAGACTGGCTAGTTGGTCTGCTTTCCGTGACCATGGGACTTGGGCCACCCGACATTTTGCAGGGGCTGTGCGTGGGCTTTTCTGCTGATCAATCACATCGATACGTGGCATGTGGCTGTACATTTGTATATCGTGCATAAAGCAAAGATGTTCCTCCAATCCCTCCTTTCCTTCAAAAATGTGCATCTCTTCCCGTTTAAAATCATCGCTGCCCATCGCTGGGACTGTCATTCCACGGTACGCAGTAAATACTCGTCTCAACCAACCCTTCCTCTTGCTTTCCGGGTTCACATGCTGATTAACAATATTATCTCCATGATCTGAACTTAGGCCGGTAGCGGCGGGCGAAGGTCCCAGCGATGTCATAGACCTTACTTCAGCCAACTTTGGCGCTGAGACGCAGAAGGCTGGCCTTTTACTGGTCCAGTTCTTTGCGCCGTGGTACGTTTTGGTTGCTCATCCTCATCTTGGTCATGGTTGGACGCTTTGATCAATTAGGTGTGGCCATTGTAAAGCGCTCGCTCCTCACTACGAGGAAGCTGCAACAGCTTTAAAGGAGAAGAACATCACGTTGGGGAAGGTCGATTGCGTTGATCAGGCGGACCTTTGCTCAGAAAATGATATACAAGGTTACCCAACGCTGAAGATCTACAGAAAGGGGAAACCGACAGCATATAGAGGGTCTCGCCAAGCCGATGGCATCATCAGTTACATGACCAAGTGAGTGTCTTGGCGCCTACGCGCCCATGTTGTTCGTTTATTGACAGGACACCAGACAATCTCTCCCGGCCGTCTCGACTGTTGCCTCTGAGAATCTCGGAGAATTCAAGGTCGCTGATAAGGTCGTTGTGCTTGCGTATGCCACTTCTACCGAAGAAGCCCCCATTCCTGCCTTCTCTTCCGTCGCTGAGACCTACCGTGACGATTACTTGTTCGGTTTAACAACCGATGAGGCGGCCATCAAAGCGGCTGGCGTCACCCCACCTGCTATCGTTCTTTACAAAAAGTTTGATGAGGGTCGCAACGACTTCCCTTCCGAGAAAATCGCTTCCGCCGACGTCGCCTCTCTAGCCGATTGGATCAGATCCAATGCTATTCCTCATTGACAAGATATCTGGAGGAACTAAGACGACTTTCAAATCCCGGTACTATCCCGGTGCAAATTATTGCGAAATTCACATTGCTGCTCATCCCCCTCTCAACACTTTTGATGCCAATGTGGCACCTGAAAGTAGAGGTGATGCTGTTTTATATCTTCTCGGTTTCCAAATGTTGATATACATAGTTATGAATTTCAATATACTTCATGACATCGAAATCTGTGTCTGTTTCACTCCCTACTTGGGCAGTGTGGAACTGTATTATGGGGCTTGCCGGATCCAAAAAAGGAAGCCATGCCTTCTCTACCCTTTAAGCATGCTGTCCATGCTCACTCATGCCTGCACACAGGAAGTGCCATTGCACCAACAATCTTGGGGAATACTCTAAGGTATGCCACTGACTAGCTGAGGTGCTATCCATTCTGAGTTAGCAAAACTTTTTGGACTCAGAAAAACTGCACAACACCATACCCAATCCTATGAAATATCTTTCCACCCCAGGCCCTAACCTCATGGCTCATGAAGACTCCAGACTTGGAAACTTTGATATCAAGCCAGAAAGTGATAGTCATGACTGTTGGAAGTTGTACACATGGTCTTGGGAACCTTAAATGCATAAAATATGGACATTCTGGGAATTGAACCACAGAGCCCTGCAAAGGTACCTAGAGTGTGTTACTGTTAGATACTGAACCAGGGATGGCACTGGGGGTTGTGCAGGTTGACCATTGCAGGGTCATTGTGGGCTTCTATTGGCCATGATGCCATGAGCAAAGGGACAAGGCCTGAGGGTAGGACCTTCAGCCTCAGCAACTCTAAAAGAGCACTGTGCCCCTAGTTGTCTCCTGGCCCTCATTTCATATTTCCTTAAGTTGCCTTGTCAAGTGTCAGAGCTAAGGGTCAAGATCAAGTGTCAGGTCACGGTCCATGTATATAGGGTCACGTGACACAGGGAGGTCACTATCATCCTACCCCCTGTGAATCATACATATTTGATACTCACAGCTGGGTTCTAGGACACCCACCTTACATCAAGTCAATATATTAGAGCTAAAGCACCATTGTCAGGGCACAGCCCACTAAAGTAAATAAGCTAATGTGTGGACTCAGTCTCAAATGAAAGATCTAAGTTATTATTCCTTTACCTAATGCATGGACTGTAAATACAATCAGAACTCACATACAAGGAAGAATAAAAAGGGTATCACCTCAGTCTCAAATGAGAGATCTGAGGGAGTGTGAAAAATTCTGCACACAGTGTGTTTTATACACCTAGTGCCAATATCGCTTATAGCGACTGCCTGCTATAACTGGCAATGAAGTAACTATCAAGACAAAAGGTATATACAATATCCTCAATTGATATCACATCAGTAAAGAAAAATATTAGTATGCATGGACATTGATATTCTAATACCTTCAACCCCACACACCCTCAGGTACCCCTCCCTCCTTCTAGTCACCCTTCCCCTATTTTCCCCTTCACTGTTTCACAATGGCACATGCATGCAGACCTGTGGGAAAGTTCTGGGTGAGTGACTGAGGTCTCAGTGGGATTGCTCAGCACACAGAGCCATAAGTGATACAATGGTGTGTATATTATGGTGTGTGTAAGCGGTTAACAGGAGTTCCTGCTTACCGATGTGACTATATGTACATAGTGATTACATATGGCTCAGGGTTGGGGGCTTTTTCCCTGACATTCTCCCCCCTTGCATTGCATTTGTGATGCATACATAGTTAATGAGGAAGAAAGAATGTTTACATTGAATTTGAAATTGTCAATGAGTGTTTTGTTATTGCCACTTTAAAGTGGATGATTTGTACATGTCGGTGAGAGAAATTGAGGGAATGAATGGGTGTGGGGCCATCACTTTGAAGTGAATGGAAATACATGGGTATCACAGAGGGGAAAAGTGATAAAAGAGAAGAAGTTTTTCGAAAAATAAATTTCGACCCAAAGATTATATGTCTCTGGTATTCCTCCTCACTTGTTCCATGAGGATTCATGTGTAAGTGGTGTTTACACATGAGTGGTGGTGGGTGTGGGTTGGACGGAGTAGAGAGTTCTGCAATTGTTACTTGTGGTTCCTTGCATACAATATTGTGTGCAAGGCTTCGAGTTGGGGGAAGGTGTTTTCATGGGTGCCTCAATGGCATATTACCATGTCACTTTCCCTTTCCTCAAGGGTAGAGTTATTGCCCTGGAGAAGGGTTTTCCTCCAGGTTGTTCATCTGATTGCTGTGTCAGATGCAATGACATAGCCTGAGCTACATTGTTGAGCTGTGGGCTCAACAAAGTGGGCGCTTCCTGGGTGGGAGCAGGTTGTTGTGTTCCTGAGCCACTTGGCTCAGGTGTAGAGTATGGTAAGTTTACTGTTCTTCCTGTGGGGAAGGGTGGTCGCTGGCCCATTTGTCCAGCACAGAGACTTGCATCTCTTTCCCGGTATTTAGAAGCTTTCGCTTCCCACCCCACAGTTCTTGCAGCATGTTCCCCAGGAGTCCTGAGTGGTTTGAACTGGGACTTTATATAGGCAGCTTTGCCTAGACTTTCCCAGGAGATTTTCCCCTTGTTCTCTGGGGAATTGTACTCCTCCATGAGTTTTGCAATACTTGGGAGTCCCGAGAAATATTTCTCAGTTTCCTTTGCTTTTTCGCAAAGGACTCTATGTACCTTGCCGCTTTTAAAGGTGGCTTCAGCTTGTTCGTACCAATGTACATATTCTTTCCCACTCACACTTGTCCACCAAGCATATGCAATGTTGTGCACCACTTGCTATTCTCCTCATGGGGAAGTTGGGGTCAATTGTTACATCGATAGGAGCTTCGACTTGGCCAAACTTGTTGAGTTCAGTGGACTTGTATAGCATGTGGACACTTCCCTGCAGGGTAGCTTGCCCATAGGGTGCCAAGGTACTCAGTGGCCCACACCTCTGGCAGTGGTCCCTGTTTTGGGGTCTGCCATCAGTTGCCCACCGCTCTCCCTCTTCCCCTCGACATGGGTTTGCCCTTCTGAGGGTGGGCCCTTATGCAACCCAGACAGGGTCGCTGTAAGGAGTGGTAACCCCACCCCTTAATTTCTATCTTTATTCTATATGTGTCTCATAATAAACATGTATGAACAATGTATATACAATAACGTGGGAATTTGGGAAAAGGAAGAGAACTTCTTTTCCTCCCCATCGTTGATAATTAAAGCTCCATACAGCTCAACTTTATTGACGACCTGAGGATTGAGGAGAACTGGGGTTAGAACCTACACCAACCCCTTACACTCACCTGCCCACAGGGTGGCAGGATAGTTGATGCCCCGGCACCGTATCCCCTCCCCCTGACCTGGGCAGCCCCCACCATGATGGGTTTGGCAGCGAGGTCTGCCAGTGTGCATGCCTCTTTGAGCTCACATTTTAATAATTTGATCTCCCTCTTTTGGAGATCAACTTCTCTCTCTGTATCTTTCAGAGAGGCAAAGATGCCCTTGGCATCTCTTCATGCTCTATTGTACTCATGCCTCCAATGGGCGCAATTATTGCAGGCATCATCTGATGCCCCCGAGTTATCAGACCGTGCCTGTTGGATGGCCTGGACGAGGAGCTGCTGTCACTCCCTTGTCTCCCTCCTATGAGGGACTTCATCTCTTTCAACTCCTGACAGAGTTGACCTGTCTGAGCAGCTACCGCTGATGTGATGGCTGATTCCCAGCCTACATTTGGCTGGGGTGTTGTTGGACCTGGGCCAAATTGGCCAATCCAGGGGGTGATTTGGCCAGGGAAGTCCCCTGGGGAGTATGCCTGGGGCTGCAACAGCAAATGCTGCCCCTGGAATGGTGCTTGTTGCACCATTGGTGCAGTTTGCACTGCATATGGTTGGAAGCCCCTTTGGGGAGGCTGGGGGATTTCTCCTGGTGCTTTTCTTTGTTGTCTGACAAGTTCTGCAAGACTTGCAGAACTTATGGGTGTCCTTCCTCATTGACTTCCACTGTCATATCCATCCACAGCCATCGACTTCCACTACCTCCGATCTCTCCGGACTACCTCTGCTCCTTCTTCACTAACCTTGGAGTTCCCATATTCTGCAATCACCTCGGTATCCCTTGATGGTCACCACCCCCTCTTTTCAATTTATTACCTACACCTCCCTAAGTACGGAGCCCTGAAGGCTTCCAGACAGCTCTGACGTCCGCTAGCGCTGAAGGAGCAGAACTGAGAGTGCAGTTTTCCCTGTTCCTGGTTGTGGGGGAGTGTACCTGTTGAGTACTGTTACAAAAATGGGGCCGGAGGCGCCCATTTTCGTCTGTTCTGAGCGCAGGAGAGAAGGGAGAGGAAGGGAGAGGGTCCATTAGAGGTTACAATGGTTTCACAGTTGGTGTAACATGTGGTTTAACAAATAGTTAACAAGTGGCGATTTTGGTGGTTAATTGATTAATTAAACTATATTACTATATAAATCACATGATACAGAACCCATAAGAGTCTAAAATGGGAAATTCCCATTTCCATAACAAGTACGGTGCTGTGTTAGTGTTTTGGTTGCTTTTTCAACAGTTTAGTGTGCTATAGAAAAATCAAACAATCAAACACCCTGCAGAGCTGTTCAAATAATTGTCTGAGCTGACTCTGGTCTGTTCAGCTCTCAGTCAGAATTCACCTAATTCTACCACTTTTTAGTTTAGGGAGTGATTACTCCTATGTGTGGAGAGATACTACTATTTTCTCCCTTCACACTGTCACTTTTTGTTCAGTAGTAACAAACTGCTTCTAAGTGTCTTACTTAGATGCCTATAAATCTCCTATCTCACTTATCACACTGTTGTTGCCTTTTGTACAGTGGCAAACTTAACTGTCTTATCACTTTTTTGCACTGGAGTGAGAACCAGAAGTGCTTGAGAGAAATATTACTCTATCTCTGAGGGGCTGCAAAGTGAGCGAAATCATGGTCCTTTTATACCTTTCAAGACCTTTCTTTCCCATGCTTTGCACTATTTACATGCAATAGAGTATTTACAAGCTTTTGTTCTAGAAAGTCCTAATGACTTGCCCAGATGACTTAGTCAGATATGACTCAACCAAAATGACTTGGTTAGATGTGATGGGGCTGTGTATGACTCAGTCTGAATTGGTTTCAGGCTGTGCATTTCTATTTTCCAGAAATGACTCAACCATATTATGACTCAACCAAAGTGACTTGGTCAAAAATGACTCAGCTGGAAATGACTCCATCAGAAATGACTCAGTCAGGGTGTCATATAGTTCTGTCTAGAAAATATTTCTAGGTAGTTGTTCATAGGTTCATATAATCCATATAGTGTAAGAATGTGAGGAAATGTTCTTCAAAGTATGTTTTAACATAAACAGTCCAAAAAAAATGTCATAAAAATGTAATGCATGTTGGATCCCCCTCGTTCCACAGCCATGGGAACATCTGGTGAATGTCCGTGCACAGGGAAACTTGTGCCAAGAGTGAGGCTGAAGTGTGGTCACCTTACCAGTTAAATTGT